GATCTCGATTGATATGACCATGAAGGTGAGAGTTGAAAAGGAGGATGAAGTTTAAGATGAGAAGGTCGAAGATGAAGATCTCGATTGATATGACCATGAAGGTGAGAGTTGAAAAGGAAGATGAAGTTCAAGGTGAAAAGGTCGACGATGAAGATCTCGATTGATATGACTATGAAGGTGAGAGTTGAAAAGGAAGATGAAGTTCAAGATGAGAAGGTCGAAGATGAAGATCTCGATTGATATGACCATCGATCTTGAAGATGAAATGGAAGATGACAGTGAGATAGAAGATTTCAGGTGATGTTGGATTTGACCTTTGAGGTTAAGATGAGGTTTCAGTTGAACATGATGTCGAAGGTGCAGATGAGGTTTTGTGTAACGTTTTAAAATGAAGGGGAAATTGAAGTTGGGCACAAGATCATGAAAAGTAAGATAGAGCTGAATAGCGGAAGAGGTTCAGGATATTAAGATGATGACTTCAACATGAAGTGAAGATGAGCATCTTGTATTGTTGTTTGTTTAATCTTTAACAAACAAACTCATTGTTTTAATACAGTCTTGAGATGTCTTCAACAAACATTTATGGAACTTTGTCATTTCAATTGACGAAGATTGATGTAAAATAAACAAATTGCACGTTTGATTTCAACGTCTCGAGTTATTCCATTTGAATTTTCAATATTTATTTTAATAGCCATCAGTAAAACTTTAATTTCAGATTCATTATCTTAAAATCGGTAAAAGTTAAATTTCATTGTTTATCCTAATTTCCGTTCGTAGCACAATTATTGGATACTAAAACAGCTTTAAGCCATATTAACGAGCGTGTTGACACGCAAATATAAAATATTAATTTGTAGTCGTATACACCCGGTCTATCAGGAGCCAAAATAGTGAGTGTTTTGTGTTTATCTTAACATTTTTAGAAAGTCTGTAAAGAAGGCCTTGTACTATATTAATATATCTGTCATTTCAGATAAACATTATTCAAATACAGAATGGAAATATCTATGAATGTTTAATGAAAATAAAACTAACTTTGCCAGAATTGAAAACATGTTTAAAGCGATGGCACAGCAGTGTTAGGATTGAAATGACATAAAAAATGAACTTAAAAAATGAGTTCTCAAATTTTTTGAAGTATRTCTTTTGATGAACCTTGCAAACATCGCAATTACGAATGGATATGCCTATTTACTATTTACGAATGGATATACCTATTTACTAATTTGTGATTATACACCTGCCCAGCTTGTCTCAACACTTGTTTTCATATCTTTAATTTGAGTCCTTGAAAGACGCCCTTTTTGTCAGAGAAGTTGAAAACAACTATAAGTGGACTTTTGATGAACCTTGCAAACATCGCAATTACAAATGAATCTCTATTGCCTTACGTGAAGTTATCACCTAAAAAACGCCCTCAGGCACCTATTTACTAATTCGTGATTATACCCTGACACAGCTTGTCTCAACATTTGTTTTGCACGTCTTTGAGTCTGTTAAAGGAGCCATCCTGCCAGAGAAATTGAAAACTACGCGGACTTTTAAAAGTACTTTTTTTACGTCTACAAGGATAAGGTCAATTATAAAGGTAGTGTATATAACGTATACA